TCTAATACTCCTACAATAATTAACGTATCGAATGTTTGGTATTCATTGTATCTATTTACAATTTTTTTCCAATAATTTGTAAATGATCTTTTTTGTTAAATAAATATACATTTGTGAGAAAATGTTTAGTTTTGATCATAGATTCAGTTGCCGGATATTCAATTTAATAAAATTATTTATCAATAAATGTGTAAAAAAAGTAACTTCGACAAAATTGTTGACAAACGATTATAACTTTGTCGACCAATGTAACTTCGATACGACATATGTCGTATATATATAAATAGACATATAATTACAAGTAGTGAATGAATGATTCATGTGTGTATATGTCACGTATAAAATGTGCGTATACAATACTAATCGGAATATTCCTGTGTTTACTTGTTTTTCATTATCGTCAATATTATTCATCACTCATTGACGACATAACTACTATAAAATGCAGGTATAATAAAAAAACATATTTCTATATAATTAAAGTATGTGTATTAGTCGAGTTGCTTATAAATTTCTTTTGCTTATCTTAATATTCAATGTTTATTACACTGAATCCGATGAAATTCCGTATGATACGGTTGTTTGTTTTGGCGATTCCCATTCTGATACTGGTAATGTTTATAATTTAACAGGTTTAAAATGGCCTGTTGTTCCACCTTATTATAATGGTAGATTTTCTAATGGAAAAGTTTGGATAGAAAAATTAGGAATATCTAATATTATTAATTATGCATATGGAGGTGCTACAACTGATAATAACTTAGTAACAGGTTTTACAGAATTTAGTTTGAGTGTACCAGGTATTCGTCAACAGATAAATAAATACAAAACTCTTACTGATGTAAGTAAGATTAATTTTCTTCGAACAATTTATATAATTTGGGCTGGTGGAAACGATTATTTTTTTAATATAAGTTTATCTTCGTCAACTGTTGTTAGAAGTTTAATTAATGGAATAAATGATTTAATTGAAATAGGTGCAAAAAATTTTCTTATTCTTAATCAACCACCTCTTCAAATATATCCAGCTACTTTAGCTTTTAATATGCCTGATTATTTAAATAAACTTACACTTGCACATAATAGTAATCTATCTAATTCAATTCAATTACTTCAATCAAATTATACGAATATATTATTTAAATTATTTGATGTTTATTCACTAATTTCAAATATTCTTATCAATGGTTCGACATATGGAATTAATAGTACGACTAATTGTTGGGATACTCCAAATTATACTGTTGTTCAATTATGTTCAACTCCTGATACTTATCTATTTATTGATCGATATCATTTTACTACTCGTGTACATCAATTAATTGCTGATAATGCACAAAAATTACTTCAAACTTCAAATGGAACTATTAAATCTCCTCAATCTATTTTTTATGTTTTATCTTTTTTTATAGCTTTATATATTTTATAGAACAATGTTTTTTCATCTTATATTGTTGATTTATTCTTTCTTTTACTTCTATAATATTGTTAATCTCACAGAAACAATTGAGCTCTAGAAATATAGATATTAATAGTCAAAGGAATTAAAACAAAAACAAAAACAAAAACAAAAACAAAGTAAAAGTACAGAAAAGTAAAAAACAAAAGAAACAAAGCGTAAAGCCATAGATAATATGTGAAAAATGAAAAATAATAAGATGAATAAAGTAATCGGGTATATATGATGTTTGAGAGAGATGAGTAATAGGTATATAAATAAATGTTAGAGTTAGAGATAATAATATTTTACTTTATTTTGTTGACATTGAATATGTGTTTAATTGATAAAAATGAGCTCAAATATATTCTCTATATCTGTTTCGAACATCTACTGCAATTCAAGTTTGAATCATTAAAAATATTTATAAAACGAAAAAATAAATCGAATAAGAATTTATCATTTTGATTCTGAAAAGAAAATATTTAAATAATTTGTTATTATTATTTTAAAAAATTTCACAATTAATTCCTGAATTACCAAAAATTATAAAAAAAAAAATTATTCTCTCCAGAAAAAAATAATCATATTCTGTTGGTATAATGAGAATTTCATTAGTGATTCCTCTTGATTTTTTTTAGTTTTACTCATATCCTTATTAATTGTTAATCCTGCATTTGTTTTTAATTAGAAAATGAACAAATATGAGAATATTAATCTAATAAGATTTATTCGATAATAGAGATGTCTCATAATCTCAAAAGAAAATTCTAAAAAACTTGAAGAATTGAAAAATTTTCAATGTAACTATGGTTAGAATATGTTACAATCGTTGCTGATCGAGAAATCAACGTATTTTTAGCCAATTGGTTCTGGATTCGAAAGAAGTAAAAAATATTAAAAAAAACAACATGAAATTTCTAAGTTCTGTAGTTTTCATTATTATTATCATTGGTCTTTTTTTAAAACTTTTCTGGTGAACAAAATCATCGATTAAACATGATATTGTGATCAAATGAGATAGATTTACAAATATAGGTTTATAAAATAATTATTCTCATTATTCAGTTAATAAAGACAATTTCCAACAGTTTGTAACATTTACCCTTCTGCTTCTCGAAGAGAATTGTCTGATACTTCTTTTTTTTTCAAAGAAATTTCAAAAATTCTTCGTGTTTTACAACAGATTTTACTGAAAAATCTTCTGATTACTTACTATTCATTTGAAGAATTTCCTGATTTAGAAATAATTCTCCTGATTTCTGACAAAAAAATCTCTTGATTTTTAAAATCTGAATTTGGTAAGTCTGATATAATTGTGTATTTTTTTCTTTCGTTTCTCTTGTTCTTATGTCTTCGAGATTTTGACCACAATCCTCAATCCACATTGCTTTTCTTCTCTTCTCTGAGTCTTCTTTCTACTCTTCTGGTTATTTTTCTCTCCTTTCTGTTTTCTAGAAATAAATCAAAGGCTAAAAAATTTGCTTTATTACGTACTAATACAGAATCCGAATTCTCATGAAACACCATCTATCTAATCACTTATTTTAGTACATCTATATCCGATAAAATTTTTTTTTTATTTGTCAATATATGTTGTATGCGTTCACTTTTGATTCTTTCAATAACAGAAATCTATCCTTAAACTTGAATAGTACTACTTTTACATATTTTTCTCAATAATCATAACAAAGATCGTATAGAGATGTTTCATTATAAATTGACAAATAAACGAAATTCTCCAAGTACTAATAGTATTATAAACATTTTAACAACGTACATTATAGATGGTTATGTTCAATATTTTGGAAATCAAGAAATAGAGGGTAATGTCCAAATAATCATGTGAAATGGAATAGTACGAAGGTAGAAAAGAGAACTTGTTGCAAATGTTTAGAACATGTAACATGGATTCTGAACGAATTCACAAGTGTTGTTGGCTGTCGAAGATATAGATGAGTTTCGCTGGGGTCCGATTCATCCTATAAATCCTATAATTCCTATATTTTTGAAGAATTCTATATTTTGTCCTATCTTTTAATGACCATTC